TTTAAAGGTTTGCAGCTGGAAAAAACAGTGGGCTGTCAGTTTTGTTCCACGGAGCAGACTGCAAATAAGTGGTAGCTATAAGAAGACAGATTTTGGTAAGACCAAATGACAGCAACAAAGGGAGGAGGAAGAGGCAGAAAGAAGAGAAGAGAAAAACAAGGAGTGGAGGCAAAAAGAAACACAATTATACTTGCTTACAAATAGAATATTCCTCATGAGAAAGTGAGGGTTCCATCACTGAAGCTAGTCAAGCACAGGCTGGAGGACCATCGGGAGGGATGTTCTGGAGAGGATGCAAACAGTGGAAAATGAATCGTGTAGCATGTCCCCCAGAACTAAGATGCTGTGATTCTATTTCTCTTTCTCAACAGTTATAGGTGTGGCCACTTAGAGAAACAGAAAAAATAAAAACCAAGAAAATTATGGTCCAAATATCCTAAATGTATAAAGCAGATATTCTAGTAGATTTTAAAATGTTTACAAGCCATTAACTAATCAAAAATAAAGGGAAGGGAAGAATTGAAGAGCTTCAAGGTAATGCTCAAGGAACCACTCCCAAATGAGGTCCAACCATAAATGAAGAGCTGGCATTGGAAACAATGAAGACAAGGATTCAGTTGACCCACAGTGTTCCTCAAATGCATCTATTCTTTTAAGATAGATTATTAAAATAAATGGGTTGCCTAAAAGTCATGGAATTTGGAAGCTTTATTTCCTTAACATTAAATCACAAGGCTTCAGCCTCTCAATCCCCCATCTAACATCAGCCAATAGATTTAACGTTTTGACACTTTCAGAGAAAGATAGCTGAGCCTTGGCTGAAGACTGTCTTAGAATATTTTGCAAGAAAAAACAAGCTCTGCTGAGCTGGTGATAATCCAGATTACCATCCATTTCCCCTTTTAGAGGCACAATGGATTTTAACCAGTTTTCTGTTTTATAAATATTACCATGGCTCAAAACATCTATGAGGAGACACAACATTACTCGTGGCTCTCATCCTGTTTGCTAACTAATTATATCAACAACCTGAACCAACTTAACACTATACAAAAACACAGCTGATTTAGCAATCTGTAAATTATACATGTACATAAATCTGTACTAAAATGTGCTGTGTTTCACTCCTGCTAATGTGCATGGATTCTTACTGGCACCTACAATTGTTTGATATAGGTTCCCGAACACTAAAACATATGTTCTGCCCAGAATGGGACCATTTAGAGTAATATTTTTGTAGTTTCCTGGCACTAAGGTCTGCCAGCCTTTCTAAGACAGATCTCCTATTTGCTTCAGCGAACATTCTGACAACAAGTGCCTGCAGATTTAAGCAACTATCAAAAAATATTCTGTAACAACACTTTCCATCCATGAATATAAAGAGAAACGGGCTGGTTTTGCCTATGTGGCAACAAAGCCAGTAGAATTTAAAATGATCACTGACATGACCATAAGCAAAATCAAATAAAATATGGAGTATTAATTATTTCTGCTGCCTACTTATGGCAATAAAAAAACCAGATAATTATCAAATCTTTCCTTCAAATGGGATTCAAAGTGTACCAAAGAAAGTTAAAGTAGATTTAATACCAGCAAGACCAGTAAACACTTTAGAAATGCTTTTTAAATACAGTGACAGGCCTAAACAGTTTCAGCCAGTCAACACTGTAAAATAGGGGCAAGAACCCTGGACCAAGATTCACTAGAATGTAATTTGCTAATCACAAGGAGGGTTTCTTGTTTACCACTGTATCCTCAGTGTTCCATAAATACATTCAATAAATCTTTGTTGAATGAATAAACCAGTAACAACTACTGGCTAGTCCCTGATCTGTCTCTAATTGCCTTTTCCTAACTCTGCCTCTTACTAACTGCAGGTAAATCACTTAACCTGAGGATTCTTAGGTGAGTTTTAGTTTAAGGATTTTAGTTCCTTAAATTCTAAAATGGAGACACTGCACCTCCTCTACTAGCTTATAAGGATCAAAGGCGATATTCTATGAAAAGTGACTTGGTACTTTATAATGGGGCACACAGATGTTAAGTGCCCATTATCCCCGCCTTTGCCTTCAGCTAAACCACTGACAAAGGTGAACAGACTGCATTTCCTTGAAATATAATTAGCCTCTCCTTTGCCCTATTATTCTGTTGAGATGTAGTAGTGTGGCTGTTAGCCAAGATGGATGTTGTTCTTATTGTTATAGCATTTTATTTAATCTCCACTTGGAAATTATGCTTCTTGAGAGAATATAATGGTAACATGAGGAAAGTGTTTTTGCATGGTGTACCATAAAGAATATGACATTGGATTCAAATGGTTTGGGGCCTCATCAGTTCTGCCCTTAAATATTTGAGGACAGTCTCTTGCATCTGTTTCCTTATTTATACAATGATGGGGAAGGAGAGGCAAACTAGATAATAATTAAGGTCTGTCTCTTCCTACAGTTCTATGATATTCCAGACATCAGATATTCAAATAACCCAAAATGAAGTCAGTACTACTGTTCATTATCATATGAGAAGTTTTTAAAGGATGATAAAAATAGTTCCACAGACTAAATCATAAAAGCTGAAGAAATAATAATGCTGAGAGAAGGATATATGATATATGTCCTCTAAGGAATACCAGCCTCAGGCATTGTTTGCTCTGCCACTTTGAATAAACCACTTACTATTCCTAGGACTCAGTTTTCTGATCTGTAAAAGAGGAACATTAATAGTGCACAGGACCACTGGGAGAAAACACCTAATAAAATGATCATAAAACATTGCTTTTCCAAGGTAAAATGCTATTTTAATACCATAATGTCCAAAAAAAGGGCTCATGGATTTTAGAATGAGACAATCAATATCTTTAAATAGACTTTTTCCACCACAGTAAAATAATATAATGCACGCAGATATTGTGATATTTCTAGGAGTTCGCATTTTTCTTCCATTTGTGTTCAGGAAATATTATAAAAAGGATCACCTTTTAAACATTAAGTGCCATATTTCAAGATGAGAATCATTTCTTCTGAAATAATAATTTTAAAAATTCATCCAACTCTCCCAAGATGCTTCATTTTTGTTGATGCTATTCGTTTGATTGGTTCATTGAAATCAACCTGCTGAAACTGATGTTGAAATGACAACGCCCATCCTAAAAATATTCCCAGTGACTTACTCTAGTCACATTCTATGCTTACAGAGGGAAAGTGGCTCTAATAAGATCAACTAAACTAGACAGTATTCTGCCTTCACAGCTCCAAGATTCTTAAGGTTCTCTTACAAACCCAAGGCATCTTGTGACTTTTACATGTAAGTTTCTCTTCCTGCTCCCTCCAAAACCCCTCTAACTTACAGGGTACTGCCTCTTTACAGAAAAATAGAATTGTCATTGATATTTATGAGGAAGTTGGTGTCACTGACAATGGGATAACCAAATTTTCAAGATTGTCTCCATACCCCTTAATAGTCCAATAAAAATAGCAATAATAGCACAGTAACTCTTAGTTATTTTATTTAAAAATCCATGAACACCTCCAGCTTTTTTTATGGCAAAACAGTTCATTGTGGCTGTTCACATAGTAATTATCATCCCCTTGCATCCCCAGGTAATGACTGTGACCTTGACCTAAAAGCCACCTTAGTTTGAATAAGGAAGACCTTGAAAGCAAAGGTGACTGACCAGAAACACTCTTAGGAGGCACACAATGAAGAAATGATCATTTCTAAGAAAGTACTTAAATAATACATGATTATTTGCTATGCTAGTTGATGTGTTTTATTATAAGATAAACTTAAATCACTGTTTAATTAAAGAGTATTAGTAACATAAGTTACTTTTCATGCCCTTCCCCTGAATCCCTAACTAAATCCAAACAGAATCTCATCTGAAATCTTGAGATTTACACATGATTAAAACCCATTTCCTAAGTTAGCTCCTCATGTCCCCCTGGTAGAAGAATGTCATCTGTTTCTGGAAGGGGTGGGGTGCGGGGTCTAGGAGTCTGCAAAGAGCATCTTATGCTTGGCTGTCTTTCAATGTAGCGTTTGATGAGCTCGTGCGCTGCGCCTTCCAACTGCCAGGACTCCTTTTTGCTCTGCAAGTGCTTAGCTGGGGTCTCTCCGCTGTAAGTCCAAAAGCGTTTGGAATTCTTCCTTACCATCCCTGCTCCTAGGACTCTCGCCTCTCAAGGCTTCATGCTACCGTCGATCTTAATGCCACAAGGAAACAGATGAGTGCTGATGATCAGTTTATTGGGTAATGGATCTATTTATAGGTTTGGTGAGATTGCTAATTTATAAGTGAGCAACACTTAAGGGTGGCATAAAACAGTTGTGGGTTTGGAAGACAGGAAATATAACAGGTTTGTACCTGTGACCATTTAGTCCGCTCTACACCTGTGCCCTCCACTTCCCACCTGATGCCAGGAGAACCATCTGCCCCTCACTTCGAAGGTGAGCTTTAACTTCACCTGGAAAGGGGTGGGGGAGCACTTCCCCACACCTCGGACTTTTCAGTTGCAGGGATGGAAGGTGGAGGCAGCCGCATCCTCCCATTCTCAGGCAACGGGGACCGGGAGTTGACCGTCTCTACTGCGAGCTCTCCCTGGGGAGAGGCGGCGCCTCCGGGAGCCCCAGAGCCTTCGCGGAAGGGTGGGCAGTGCCGACGGGGCACGCGCTGCCGCTCCGACTGCGGCCAGCTTTCCATCACTTTTCCCAGGACTTCGCTCAGCAGCTGTCACGCACCCTTGGAGATGAGACCGAGAGGGCGCGAGAAAGGCCCAAAAGGCGTCCCCAGAAGAGCTCTCCTGTTAGGATGGGGACCCATCAGACCCCGCCCCGCCCTGCCCACCTTTCTCTGCCTCGGGGAGGCTGCCCTGGGTGCCCGCGCCGCGGCTCCTTAGCAGAGCTCGCGGGTTCTGCTGCATCCGCTGGCTCCGAGCGGCGAGAGGTTCTGCAATAAAAGCACGGATAAAACGCCCGGGTAATCGAAATCCGAATGCACCTCTTACCATTGGACCGCCGGACAATATTCTCCAGAAACGTGTTCTGCGGGGCCACCAGTCCCCTCCTGCCCCCAGCCATGGTCATTCTCCCAGCAGCTCAGGGTCCGGGGGGCGTCCTGGCGCGGCTTCTTACGACAGCAGGAAACTGGACTCGGGGCCCGCACGCAGTCCCGGCTCGAAGCGCCCCATGCGCCCCGCGGGGACCCGCAGGCAGGGCTGGCGGCTCCCTACGGTTGCTACCCTCGCGCCCTCTTCGCGCCTCCCTCCCTGCGGCCCGCCTCGCAGTGCACTCGCGCCGGCCTCGGCTCGCTGCAGCCGCCTCCGGGTGGGCGGAGGGAGCAGCGGCGCCTGGGCCGGCGGCGCCCCCTACCGGGCTCGTGCCCCCCGCCGGCCTGCGGGAGACCAAGCTTTGGGGTTCCCGCAGAGGCCGGGAAGCGGCGGGCGGCCGTGGACCAAGGCTGGGACGGCAGCGCCACCCTCTGGGTACAGCCGGGAAATGTGTTCAGGATGTGCCTTGGGTTGGGTGGAGAGGGCATTGTGAGCAGCTTTCAGGGCGGATTCACCCCTAACAAGTCTTGGGGGAGCGTGCTGATGTAACTCTCTTCCTTTGCTCTGTTTCAGGCCGGGGACCCCGGGACGTCTAAGGCTCTGGGAACACCTTCTTGCCTTCCTGTAAGATTGGTCAGCCTGACTAGTGAAAGTTGCCCCACCTTGATTCTAGGCCAGTGTTGGAGCAGTAATTAATGAAGTTGTATTGCAATAATGCAGATTTACAGAGTGACTGGCAGATTCAGCTTCAGAAGAGTTGTCTTGGGTTGTTTTTACCGTAGACACAAATGCAGGCTCCTGATGTTTGGTATGATCAATATCAAACTGCCTGACAAACATCAAAAACGGTGGACTTGTCTCTAAGGACGAATGCTCAGGGGAGGGGCAGTATTAATTAAGCAACCGTGACTTTGGCTTGAAGGGTAGTCTGTAGTGCAGAGGATACAGTTAGTTTTTACAGCTGACCCCTAGTATACGGAAGAACCATGTACATCCAAGGTTTCTGGACAGGGGCTAAGACAATGGTCGTTTGTTCATTTATTTTGGGGGATTTCGAACCAAACATACTCTGTACCTGCCTTTTTACTATATCTCCCCCGTCGGTGTGGTGGGAGACTAAGCCTATGTCCCACAGAGGAAATAAATGGAGAGTTTACTAGTTTCAGACCGAATCAACAGTCAACACGAAAATGTAAGAGGAAAAAAAAACTGACCCTGGAAATTAATTGTCTGGGTTAGCCATCCTGACATATCCTAATGTATTGCAAAGACATCCTGTCTCAGTTAATTAATCTCAAAAACAGAAGAACTAATTCTTGCCCAGAAATCTCTCAGAGTTGCTGTGAAGATCAAGCAAGATTATGTATGGGGACAGCACCCTAAATTGTAAAGTGCTTTGCCAAGGTCAGATGTCATTATTGGAGTGACTAAATAAATTGGGCCATTACGAATATCACCCTTTGTCTCGTCTTGTGAAGAGACAAAGTAACAGATTGCTGTTAGCAGAGAGTTAAATAAGGTTGTCATAGGATTTGAAATGAAAGTAATGATACACTTTTCCCTTAAGAAAACCTTCTCGCCTGTCACCCAGTCTAGAACTGTGATTTCTTAAACCCTAGCTCCGTCTAGTGGTTCTTTGTTCTATTACAAATAAGGTAACACAGTGGTTGAAGAGAACTTGACTCTCAAATGCATTTGGTGCTGAGCTGAGCCAGTTTGGTGCCTATCGACTTCATTTAAATAAGTTTATTTAAATAAGGTTTTTAAAGTTGTGTTATCGCACAAACATGCCAAGGGAAGATTTTTCATGACAATATTAAAAACCCATCAAGAAACTTCATAATCCTGCTTGTGAAAGGAAGATAAAGAAAATAATGCGGAGGGGAAAACTATCACAGAGTTAATAAAATTTGTAAGGTTTTAATGAGCTCTCATTTCTATGGCTTAGATAAAAAAGGAAACAGATGATATTAGTTTGAGATGAGAGATGTTAAAGCCTTGGTGGGCTACCTGATAAGAAAAAGAAATAAGGAGATGTCTTCCATTTTAAATGTACTACTGAGATGGATCTCAACATGGACTGTGCGTTCGTGTGTGTGTGCATGCGTGTGTGTGTGTGTGTGTGTGTGTGTGTGTATTGGCACCTTTTTGAATACTACAATTTTTGGTGGCACACTTGAAGAAATTAAAAGACCTAAAACAAAGTAGTGCTACTACAAAGTGGTCCTTTTTTTAAAGTTTTAAACCTCCAGATTGTGTGCCATAACACGATCACATTATTTCATATCTTTTTGCTTAAATAAGACTGGATGCTTATAAAAGCACTGTTATACTGTGTTATGGCACTTTAAGTACTTGCTTAGAAATGATCATTTCTTCATTGTGTGCTTCTTAAGAGTGTTTCTGGTCAGTCACCTTTCCTTTCAAAGTCTTCCTTATTCAAACTAAATTGGCACGATTCAAGATCACAGATCTTCACACAGGGATGTGCAAAGAGAGAATGGTTACTCGTGAACAGCTACAATGAACTGTTTTTGCCATTAAAAAAAAAAAAAAAAGCTGGAGAGGTGTTCATGATTTTTTTTTTTTTTTTTTTTTGAGATGTTCATGATTTTTTTTTTTTTTTTTTTTTGAGACGGAGTCTGGCTCTGTCACCCAGGCTGGAGTGCAGTGGCCGGATCTCTGCTCACCGCAAGCTCTGCCTCCTGGGTTCACGCCATTCTCCTGCCTCAGCCTCCTGAGCAGCTGGGACTACAGGCGCCCGCCACCTCGCCCGGCTAGTTTTTTGTACTTTTTAGTAGAGACGGGGTTTCACCGTGTTAGCCAGGATGGTCTCGATCTCCTGACCTCGTGATCCGCCCGTCTCGGCCTCCCAAAGTGCTGGGATTACAGGCTTGAGCCACCGCGCCCGGCCATGATTTTCAAATAAAATAAATATTTAAGAGTTAAATTGTTCAAAAGTCAGCAATCTTTCATCACAATGTGAGTGTCTCACAGTGTCTGTGGAGGTACATCCAATTTGTTCCCCCATTCCCTTGGTTCACTCACAACACATCTGACTGTAGGAATACAATCACATTCTCCGCTGTCCACAGCCACATTCTCAATATTCCAGTAAACACTCCCTCTTTCTTGGTGCTAGTTGACAGGATACTGTGCTTCTTACCTTTTACTTGCCACCTTCTGTTCCCTCCTTAACATTGAGTTCCAGCACCTGCTCAACTTAAAAGTTCTGTCTGAGATCTACCTCTGTAATATAGGAATCTCAGTTAGAGTAAATTTTAATCTTACAGATTTGTCGAAACTTGGTTACAGATTCGTGAAGGATTCACAATATACCAATGTACCTTGGAAAACAGTTGAGAACGCTTACATTTTTGCATAACATACAAAGCCACTCCTTCATTTAAAGGGACAACTTTAGATAACTGTGACCAGAGTTCCAATTCAACTGCCTCTATCCATCTGTGCAGAAAATGTAGCCCATTTTCTGCAGGGATACAGAGTTCAGATACAGAGTTGGAAATAAATTCTCAAATGTGAGTCTACTGCTTCCAGGCTTCTTTCCTCTTCAGGGGCTCTCCTCCTGTATCCCTCAGCATTTTGTTTACCCCTTAGCTATAAGATGTGTTTATGTCTGTATCATGCTGTAGATTATGTCTGTATCACGCTCCTTGAAACAAAGACACACTATAACTATCTTTGTTCTCATAAATGCTATTAAGCTACACTGTAGTTAGTGAGTTCACAAATGTAATAGATAGTGATGGAGGCATAATGCTATAGGGAGAATATGGAGATGGTGGTCTGCAGATTGGCTGGGAAAAGAGTCCAGGAGATGACAGAAAAATCTCTCTCCGCAACAACAACAACAAGTCTATCAAACGAAGAGGATGACAATGCCACACATCAGAAGGGGCAAATGGTATCATATAAAGACAGGAACTTCATTTTTCCTTCCATTAAGACCACAAGGTGTGGGTGACAGATTTTCGAAAGCCAGGAACCTCTCTAACGTAGGAAAGTTGCCTGTGAGTCCTAGAAGGTCTGAGAGCTGGAAGGGGCAGGCCACAGATGCATCATCATGAGCAACTTAAGTGGAGGAGAAATTGAACATAGAGGCGACTTCACTATTCAGCCACCATGAGTGAAATATCTAAATATCTAAAAGTGGAGAGGAATTTGCAGCATGAGAAATTTCAGCTTCTATAGCCCAATGACTGACTGACTTCTTGTATGTAATTTCTGTTAACAAAACTTCTATTTGAATCAACTTATAGGAAGAATGTTGGGCAGACTATATACATTGAAAAAAATGATTCCCTACAATAGATGTATCTCCCCAGTGTTGGGAGAAGGGACAGAATCTGCTTCAAAGGAAATACTAGTCCCTGAATTCGATTGACTAGGGTCAAATAATGCACTGATGTGGATCTACGCTTACCCATGGCTAACCCAACAGACAGTGTGAAGCGTTTGTAGAATTGAGTTATATCCTTCCAAGTGCCCTAAGCTATTCTTCCTTCTCATTTCCTCTAAACAAAAGAGAAAAGGATCTTTTATCACACCCTTCCCTCAGTGGGAAATAATTAAAAGTCATTTACAACAGTCTCATTTTATTATAACAAACATTTGCATGGTGTCTTGTATATAGCAGACACTGGGATAGGTTCTAAGGATTAAAAGATGGTTATGACTGGCACCTGCCCACAAGAAATTCAACAAACAATGAATATGTATGTTCTTCATGATTTCTTTCAATTGCTTTCCTGTCTCCAACGTGCCCTCTAAATCTTCCTTTCTTTTTAAATAAACTATAGTTCAACTTGACCTCTTCGCTTAAGATTTTTTTTTTTTTTTTTTTTTTTTTTTTTTTTTTTTTTGAGACAGGGTCTCAAAAAAGCCAGAAGTTCAGGTGAGAATTTGTCTTGTTCCTCATTGCCATACTTAAACCACTACTCTTCTCCATTCATGTAAAATTTCTCCTACTTTGAAGTTCATGACCAATGAAAATATCACTATTACTTCCCTTCAATTCTTAAAACAAACTTGGGGAAAACTGTATTCAGTTATGAAAAAGCTGAGTTGCCTTCAGGACATTTCGGAGAAATATCAAGTAGGAAGTTGGATATTCACATCTAGAACCCAAGAGAAACATCTGGGTGGTGCTCGAAATTGGAAATCACCAGTTTATAGCTTTCAAAGGAGACTGAGAAGGAGCAGTTTAGAAGTGGAGGGAACTGAGAGAAGTGGTTTTATAGAAGCCCAGAGGGGAAAACTCTTTAAATGAAAAGAAAGAAGAAAAGCGTCATTTGTTGTACACTGTAGAGATAAACACT